ATTGATTCATACATAATCTATCTGGTAGTCTAACAGTAGAGCGGGTACTCCTGAATAGTACATTGTATTTTGACGTATGATTTATCTAACGCCATGAACTGACGTACTGAAAAAAATGGTAGCAGCGGCTCGTGAATTTGACGTGATGTTCCGTTTTCTGTTGATGGGTCCTCGGGAAGGTTAGGTTCGGGCTAAGTAAGAAAACAGTTTAGTGGCGTTGTGAACGCTGGAGAGCACAGGCTGAACAGCCAGCACATCGGAGTCTTATAGGGACCTAACCCTGAGGTGCTTCCGGGGCTTAGCGTCCCCGCGGCCCGGTCTCCGACCAGGGCCTCCTCGTTGATAGACTGGTCAATGAGGCTGTTGGACGCAGCTTGACATATGAATCACAGCCTGGTTGATCAGGGATGAGTCAATTTATGTATTTTTAGATCAAAATAACGGGTTTAGCGTTAATTATATTCGAACCTAAGGCCTATAGACTAATTGTGAGACATTGTTAAAGTGTTTATTGTTAGTTACAATAACTTCATTACCTGCCGCTTTATTTCGAATTCAAAATTTTGTCAGTTGGAATTGAGAGTGATTTACTCTAAGGGAATATAAAAAAAATTGAAATGCAGGTGTTGGGTAGTTATGTACTTCCTCTGTGTATGGGTAGTTATGTACTTCCTCTGTGTATGGGTAGTTATGTACTTCCTCTGTGTATGGGTAGTTATGTACTTCCTCTGTGTATGGGTAGTTATGTACTTCCTCTGTGTATGGGTAGTTATGTACTTCCACTGTGTATGGGTAGTTATGTACTTCCTCTGTGTATGGGTAGTTAAGTCCTTCCACTGTGTATGGGTAGTTAAGTCCTTCCTCTGTGTATGGGTAGTTAAGTCCTTCCTCTGTGTATGGGTAGTTAAGTCCTTCCACTGTGTATGAGTAGTTAAGTCCTTCCTCTGTGTATGGGTAGTTAAGTCCTTCCACTGTGTATGGGTAGTTATGTACTTCCTCTGTGTATGGGTAGTTATGTACTTCCTCTGTGTATGGGTAGTTATGTACTTCCTCTGTGTATGGGTAGTTATGTACTTCCTCTGTGTATGAGTAGTTAAGTACTTCCTCTGTGCACAGCATTATGTGACTCTAGCCAGACATCTCCCAGCACAAATCATCGCCTGAGTACTGAGTACTGATGGTACTCTGTTTCCACCAACCACCTCCCGTAGGCCTCACCCTGTAATAACTGAGCCAGATGGCTCAAACATTATGGATATACTTAGAGCTAAACCCTCCAGTGTGTCTGAGGGGGCCCTGGCGACCTTGGACATGACGGGCGCAGACATCTCTATTATTGACAACAGTCCGGTCAGCAACTACGACGACCTTTCCGCTCCAAGGTTTCAGTGGATGAGCCACACGCACTCTAGAGACGCTATCTTGCCGCGACGCCTCGTTCTGGAAGCGTTATCGTATGAGGCTATGGGGGTGATATCCCGTGTTGGAAAGTCTAGCTGTTAGCGTCACTAATATTATCGATAGGGACTGCCTACTTTCTCCTTAGCTATCCTTTAGCTAAAACGCTATCCTTAGCCAGAAGCTGATATCACGTTCGCCATTCGACTACCCTCGTGGTGGTCGGAGCAGGCAATCTTGGCTGCTCTGCTTTCTTTAATGCCAATTATTACATTAGGCTAGCATTATTTGTCTAGTCGGAAATTGGAAGAATGGCACACATAATTGGGATCCCTTCCTCGCTGTTGACTAAATCAGTGGCTACATTTTGTTCTAATATTGTTGCTTCACTTGTAATCCTTCCTGCATTCCCCCTTCCCTGGCCCTAATACACATTAAGGGGTTTTCTTCCTTTGCGAGCCATGAGATTTCCTATAGTCCTTATATCATCCCCTTATCTTGAGGTTATCTTGAGATGATTTCGGGGCTTTAGTGTCCCCGCGGCCCGGTCCTCGTCCAGGCCTCCAACCCCAGGAAGCAGCCCGTGACAGCTGACTAACACCCAGGTACCTATTTTACTGCTAGGTAACAGGGGCATAGGGTGAAAGAAACTCTGCCCATTGTTTCTCGCCGGCGCCTGGGATCGAACCCAGGACCACAGGATCACAAGTCCAGCGTGCTGTCCGCTCGGCCGACCGGCTCCCCTATTCCTGGTCCTCAATAAGAAACCATTAACCAGTTCTCCCTCATATCCCTCCTCCTATCCTGTCCTCAATATCCCTGCTCCTATCCCTAACCTCGTTTCCGAATAGGGTCGTGAGTCAGTGGAATGTATTTCAGACTAGCATTATCAAAGATAACAGGTTTACCTGTTTCAAGAATAGTTTGGATAGTCTACCATGGGTACTCGCGGGGGTGAAGGATAGCCGACCGTGGGTACTCGCGGGGGTGAAGGATAGCCGACCGTGGGTACTCAGGGGTGAAGGATAGCCGACCGTGGGTACTCGCGGGGGTGAAGGATAGCCGACCGTGGGTACTCGCGGGGGTGAAGGATAGCCGACCGTGGGTACTCGCGGGGGTGAAGGATAGCCGACCGTGGGTACTCAGGGGTGAAGGATAGCCGACCGTGGGTACTCAGGGGTGAAGGATAGCCGACCGTGGGTACTCAGGGGTGAAGGATAGCCGACCGTGGGTACTCAGGGGTGAAGGATAGCCGACCGTGGGTACTCAGGGGTGAAGGATAGCCGACCGTGGGTACTCAGGGGTGAAGGATAGCCGACCGTGGGTACTCAGGGGTGAAGGATAGCCGACCGTGGGTACCCGAGGGATGAAGAGGTTGGCGATGGATGGAAGTGGAACTAGCATAGTATGCCCCCACGAGCATATTGCCGTGCTCTATAATTCCCGTGTTTATCTTGCGACACAGAGCAGATGATATGCAACAGTGCAAGGGCTATATTGCGCAGCTGTGTGACAGAGGGCAGTTAGGCGCATCATGAAACTGTACATTATAACGCTCTGCACAATATATGATGCATTGCACACCATATAGCGATGCATGTGTCATCATACAACATGCTATACACGATATAGCAGCGATGTAATACAAGTGATACGAAATATAGCTACATTATATCACACAAAATACAACAGTACACACATGTATGTCTATGTACTCACCACTACATAACACAGAATACATCAGGCGATGAGTCACAATAACGTGGCTGAAGTATGTTGACCAGACCACACACTAGAAGTTGAAGGGACGACGACGTTTCGGTCCGTCCTGGACCATTCTCAAGTCGATCGACTTGAGAATGGTCCAGGACGGACCGAAACGTCGTCGTCCCTTCAACTTCTCGTGTGTGGTCTGGTCAACAGAATACATCACATAACATGGCGTTCTTAGCAGCGGTATCCTAGCCTAGTAAACAAATTATAACACAATATAATTCAACATTTTGAAACGTCCCGATAAAGCTTTCAAGTCCATGGTAGAAATAAATCGGCAGAATACAGTTGTAGTTGGTACGATAAATAAATTATAAGTCATTATTGTGTTAAAGTTGGATGATACTTGGCCCCAGCGCAGCATACTTGAACCAGTCGTGCAGCATACTGCCTTGTACCAGACGTGCAGCATACTGCCTTGTACCAGTCGTGCAGCATACTGCCTTGTACCTGACGTGCAGCATACTGCCTTGTACCAGTCGTGCAGCATACTGCCTTGTACCAGACGTGCAGCATACTGCCTCGTACCAGTCGTGCAGCATACTGCCTTGTACCAGTCGTGCAGCATACTGCCTTGTACCAGACGTGCAGCATACTGCCTCGTACCAGTCGTGCAGCATACTGCCTTGTACCAGACGTGCAGCATACTGCCTCGTACCAGTCGTGCAGCATGCTGCCTTGTACCAGACGTGCAGCATACTGCCTCGTACCAGTCGTGCAGCATACTGCCTTGTACCAGACGTGCAGCATACTGCCTTGTACCAGACGTGCAGCATACTGCCTCGTACCAGTCGTGCAGCATACTGCCTTGTACCAGACGTGCAGCATACTGCCTCGTACCAGTCGTGCAGCATACTGCCTTGTACCAGACGTGCAGCATACTGCCTCGTACCAGTCGTGCAGCATACTGCCTTGTACCAGACGTGCAGCATACTGCCTTGTACCAGGCGTGCAGCATACTGCCTTGTACCAATCGTGCAGCATACTGCCTTGTACCAGACGTGCAGCATACTGCCTTGTACCAGACGTGCAGCATACTGCCTTGTACCAGTCGTGCAGCATACTGCCTTGTACCAGACGTGCAGCATACTGCCTTGTACCAGACGTGCAGCATGCTGCCTTGTACCAGGCGTGCAGCATACTGCCTTGTACCAGTCGTGCAGCATACTGCCTTGTACCAGTCATGCAGCATACTGCCTTGTACCAGGCGTGCAGCATACTGCCTTGTACCAGGCGTGCAGCATACTGCCTTGTACCAGACGTGCAGCATACTGCCTTGTACCAGGCGTGCAGCATACTGCCTTGTACCAGACGTGCAGCATACTGCCTTGTACCAGGCGTGCAGCATACTGCCTTGTACCAGGCGTGCAGCATACTACCTTGTACCAGTCGTGCAGCATACTGCCTTGTACCAGCCATGCAACATACTACCCCTGTACCAGCCATGCAACATACTACCCTTGTACCAGCCATGCAACATACTACCCTAGTACCAGCCATGCAACATACTACCCCTGTACCAGCCATGCAACATACTACCCCTGTACCAGCCATGCAACATACTACCCTTGTACCAGCCATGCAACATACTACCCCTGTACCAGCCATGCAACATGCTACCCCTGTACCAGCCATGCAACATGCTACCCTTGTACCAGCCATGCAACATGCTACCCCTGTACCAGCCATGCAACATGCTACCCCTGTACCAGCCATGCAACATGCTACCCCTGTACCAGCCATGCAACATGCTACCCCTGTACCAGCCATGCAACATGCTACCCCTGTACCAGCCATGCAACATACTACCCCTGTACCAGCCATGCAACATGCTACCCCTTGTACCAGCCATGCAACATGCTACCCCTGTACCAGCCATGCAACATACTACCCCTGTACCAGCCATGCAACATACTACCCCTGTACCAGCCATGCAACATACTACCCTTGTACCAGCCATGCAACATACTACCCCTGTACCAGCCATGCAACATACTACCCCTGTACCAGCCATGCAACATACTACCCCTGTACCAGCCATGCAACATGCTACCCCTGTACCAGCCATGCAACATGCTACCCCTGTACCAGCCATGCAACATGCTACCCCTGTACCAGCCATGCAACATGCTACCCCTGTACCAGCCATGCAACATGCTACCCCTGTACCAGCCATGCAACATGCTACCCCTGTACCAGCCATGCAACATGCTACCCCTGTACCAGCCATGCAACATGCTACCCCTGTACCAGCCATGCAACATGCTACCCCTGTACCAGCCATGCAACATACTACCCCTGTACCAGCCATGCAACATACTACCCCTGTACCAGCCATGCAACATGCTACCCCTGTACCAGCCATGCAACATGCTACCCCTGTACCAGCCATGCAACATGCTACCCCTGTACCAGCCATGCAACATGCTACCCCTGTACCAGCCATGCAACATGCTACCCCTGTACCAGCCATGCAACATGCTACCCCTGTACCAGCCATGCAACATGCTACCCCTGTACCAGCCATGCAACATGCTACCCCTGTACCAGCCATGCAACATGCTACCCCTGTACCAGCCATGCAACATGCTACCCCTGTACCAGCCATGCAACATGCTACCCCTGTACCAGCCATGCAACATGCTAACACGATCACACATGTTGCATCTCAGGGAACACAGGCGAAACACAGCATAATATCATGATGGTATTGGGATCTCTTTCGTGTGGTATTTCACCACTATCATTGTGTTTGGCAGCAATCAGGAAATGTGGTGATGGTGGCAGGGAAATGTGGTGATGGTGGCAGGGAAATGTTGTGATGGTGGCAGGGAAATGTGGTGATGGTGGCAGGGAAATGTGGTGATGGTGGCAGGGAAATGTTGTGATGGTGGCAGGGAAATGTTGTGATGGTGGCAGGGAAATGTGGTGATGGTGGCAGGGAAATGTGGTGATGGTGGCAGGGAAATGTGGTGATGGTGGCAGGGAAATGTGGTGTACAGGGACTAGACACCCTAGCCAGGATTTGGCATGGGTTATGTTGCCTTAATTTAGGCTACTCAAGAACTTCTTGACTCGAATGATGCTGCTCAAACAGCAAACTCTCATGTGAATAATATTTTACTCACACCGTCCTCATATCCCAGCTCCTATTCTCTCCTGATATCCCTTTCATATACTTAATGCTTCCTCATTAAAAAAATTTACAACCTCTGAAAGGAACCATTTATATTAGTTTAGGCTAAGACCAACAATATTGTCGAAAATAAAACTACAAATTAACTTTAAAAATAATTATAAATAACACCGACAAGAGTTACTAATCCAAGTGTTAAAACTCAGTCCTAAGCTCTCCCAACTATAGCGTGTTTGAGGAAATATACGAAAAAGGAGAAAAAAACACAGAAAAAATGAGGTGGAGATGTTGGCTGGGTTTTCCAGCATCCTGGCCAGCGAGGGGCGGACCTGTTGATCTGTGGGTTCGCGACCCCGGTGTTCCCGAGGTCCGTCTCCCCCTCCACCGGCCCCCACACACTAGGGGGGGGGGGGGAAGGAGCGAGGCTTCGCAAGAACGAGGTGATACCGCTGGACCGCGCTGGAGACTTGGTTTTTGCCTCTAGGAAGCACGGGCGGAGGAAGTAAACTTTATATAGAGCATTTAATGTGTTCCGCTTCTTTTTATCGCGTATATTTTATTTTTTAGGTATAACTGCATTAATGCACCTGCCCCTCGACTATATGAAGGGCTGCATAGTGTGTCAAGAAATGCTAAGAAATCCCCGTATTCCCAGGGCATGTGATCAGTAGCCTACACTTATACACTTTGGATATCCTCTAGACCTAAATGATATCCTCTAGAACTAAAGGATATTCTTTAGAACACGAGATTGAATAATTATAAAGATTCAGGTACCTTATATTGGGAGGTCTGAACGGTTTGGTGATTGAACTCTCTGCCACAGGTAACGGTAGCCACCTGCCACAGGTAACGGTAGCCACCTGCCACAGGTAACGGTAGCCACCTGCCACAGGTAACGGTAGCCACCTGCCACAGGTTACGGTAGCCACCTGCCACAGGTAACGGTAGCCACCTGCCACAGGTATCGGTAGACACCTGCCACAGGTAACGGTAGCCACAGGTAACGGTAGCCACCTGTCACAGGTAACGGTAGACACCTGCCACAGGCAACGGTAGCCACCTGCCACAGGTAACGGTAGCCACCTGTCACAGGTAACGGTAGCCACCTGCCACAGGTAACGGTAGCCACCTGTCACAGGTAACGGTAGCCACCTGCCACAGGTAACGGTAGCCACCTGCCACAGGTATCGGTAGACACCTGCCACAGGTATCGGTAGCCACAGGTAACGGTAGCCACCTGTCACAGGTAACGGTAGACACCTGCCACAGGTAACGGTAGCCACCTGCCACAGGTAACGGTAGCCACCTGCCACAGGTAACGGTAGCCACTTGTCACAGGTAACGGTAGCCACCTGTCATAGGTAACGGTAGCCACCTGTCACAGGTAACGGTAGCCACCTGCCACAGGTAACGATAGCCACCTGAAACAGGTAATGGTAGCCACCTGCCACAGGTAACGGTAGCCACCTGTCATAGGTAACGGTAGCCACCTGCCACAGGTAACGGTAGCCACCTGCCACAGGTAACGGTAGCCACCTGTCACAGGTAACGGTAGCCACCTGCCGCAGGTAACGGTAGCCACCTGCCACAGGTAACGGTAGCCACCTGCCACAGGTAACGGTAGCCACCTGCCACAGGTAACGGTAGCCACCTGCCACAGGTTACGGTAGCCACCTGCCACAGGTAACGGTAGCCACCTGCCACAGGTAACGGTAGCCACCTGTCACAGGTAACGGTAGCCACCTGCCACAGGTAACGGTAGCCACCTGCCACAGGTAACGGTAGCCACCTGCCACAGGTAACGGTAGCCACCTGCCACAGGTATCGGTAGACACCTGCCACAGGTAACGGTAGCCACAGGTAACGGTAGCCACCTGTCACAGGTAACGGTAGACACCTGCCACAGGCAACGGTAGCCACCTGCCACAGGTAACGGTAGCCACCTGCCACAGGTAACGGTAGCCACTTGTCACAGGTAACGGTAGCCACCTGTCATAGGTAACGGTAGCCACCTGTCACAGGTAACGGTAGCCACCTGCCACAGGTAACGATAGCCACCTGAAACAGGTAATGGTAGCCACCTGCCACAGGTAACGGTAGCCACCTGTCATAGGTAACGGTAGCCACCTGCCACAGGTAACGGTAGCCACCTGCCACAGGTAACGGTAGCCACCTGCCACAGGTAACGGTAGCCACCTGCCACAGGTAACGGTAACCACCTACCACAGGTAACGGTAGCCACCTGCCACAGGTAACGGTAGCCCCATGCCACAGGTAACGGTAACCCAACCTATTCTTGGCAACCACTGTGTCTCACAGTCTGGTCGACGTTTTATACTGCCCAGAAACACAGGTTTCGGATTTAAACAAATCATGACATTTTTACAATGATGCTTTCAGGCCTTCGTGAGTTTTTGATTTCTCTCATATCAGACCTGAATGTTTGGAGCAATATTGTCTCTATAATAGAGAGCGGGATGTATAGGTCAACTTCATCCTTGTTGCCCGCAAATATCTCTGTAATGCATGGATCATTATGATGTGTTATGTTTATATAATGTGGAATCCATTCAAAAGATATTCTAAACCCTTTATTCTGTGCATCGAAGATGTTATTCATAATAGCAACTATGAAATTTTTGCTGTTTGTCTTACAGGAGAAGTGTTTAAGGGCTTCAAGGGAAGACTTGGAATTACAGAAAAAAAAAAAAAAAAAAATATATATATATATATATATATATATATATATATATATATATATATATATATATATATATATATATATATATATATATATATATATTTAGCGCACTAGTTGTGGTGGAGCTAGTTCAGTTAGCGTCAAGTTCAGCTAGTAATTTAGCCAGTCACATAAAGTTTGTTTACAAGTATTATTTCCATAAAACTTCATTCTGGTGCTGGAGTCCGTCGTGTTGACGACTGGACTGTCAGCCGTCGGTGTAGACACAGTGCTAGTGGGACGAGGCTTCTGATAGAGAAGACTGATAGAGGATAGACTGATATTCTGATAGAGGATAGAGGAGAGGTTTCCACTGTGACGCCTTTGTGAAGAGCAAGATTCACATTACCTTTCTTGGTGACAGGTGTGTATGATACCTCAATAGAAGGCTACAGATAAAGTGGACTGTCTGTGACACGTAGATCACGTTAAAAAGATTGTGTTCATGACACGTAGATCACGTTAAAAAGATTGTGTTCATTTGATAAGATTGAAGGTATTTTTACTCAGCCATTTATCATAGGAGTGAGTTAGTGTGCTGGCACCTGTCAATGTGGTATTCAAGGCACAAAATGAATTGTTTCTGAGCATTACTGGAGGTGTGTGGTGGTCTCTGGGATAGTCTGTGTCTTAGAAATCTCTGTAAGATTAAGGGATTAGAACGTAATGCTTTTATTATTATTGATAATTTGCTTTCATAATAATTTGATATATTAATTTTATAATTTGATAATTAATTTGATAATTTAGTGATAATAATTTTTGCTTTGTTGATGCCCGTCAAAGGAGATTGTAGTAACATGTTCAGGGGCGAGTTAAGGAGCTTGCATGGAATCCGGTATTAATTGTATACTTAATAATCTAACATAATTAGTTTTGTTTACGGTCTCAAGTCCTTGGAAACGTGATTATTATTTTAGCTAAAACGAGCGCAGAGTTGCTGTTCTCAGCTCCTCTGACTCTCATTCTTGCAGCCTTAAAGTGGCAGAACAAGCGCTGAGGTTGTCTACAACTATGAAGAACGTGTTCAGAATCCACGTTACCTGTCTATATCCTTAATCCAGGGGCTTGGTGGTGTTATATCCTAGAGGTTATAGCTATATATTAACACCTTGTAATAACACTGAGGCAAGCCTGCATGTACAGTACGCTTCTGTTAACTCTGACCCCCCCCCCCATCCTACGGGCTCACCATAACCCGTGCTACATGGACACTTCGTTCTGAGTAGTTAAATCTAACCTTGCCCCTCCTCCCCTAGGCAAGCCTACTGTATGCTCACCTGGGTGTAGGAGGCAGGGTGGCCAGGTTTATTAGTTTTCCTAGACGGCAGAGTAGGAGGCTATGCTGCCAGGCTAATTTAAATGTTCTGCTTGTAATACATACTGTATACATGGCATACCTAGGCATTGGGAGCCGGTGGCTGAGCGGACAGAACACTGGACGCGTGATCCTGTGGTCCCAGGGTTCGATCCCAGACACCGACGAGAAGCAATGGGCAGAGTTTCTTTCACCCTGATGCCCCTGCTACCTAGCAGTAATTAGGTACCTGGGAGTTAGTCAGCTGTCACGGCCTGCTTCCTGGGGGTGGAGGCCTGGTCGAGGACCGGGCCGCGGGGACACTAAGCCCCGAAATCATCTCAAGATAACCTCAAGACATACCTATAATATATGTTCACATTATAAAATCGTTCAATCTTCAACATTGGTTTACTGATAATTATGCAAACTATATGTAATATAGTATTTACCTTGTAAATTGATGTACATATGATATATATATATATATATATATATATATATATATATATATATATATATATATATA